GTAATGTTTATATAAGACTTTTTCAATTCTTCCCCTTATATTTTTTTCTCCCAAAAATCCATAAGAATATGAGTGTTTATAGGAGTTTCGACTAACTAGTAGTTTTTCATATATAAAAATATTCATTCATAAAGTGTTATCAAAATGATATGCAAGATTGTTCGCCAAATTCTTCTTAACCAACTCTAAACTCAACTTGGCAATTTCTTGGCCTACGTGGTTGATGATCCTACTATTCAGCTTGTTCCTTAGGTTATTTTTTATGATCAAAACTTCATTATTTTTTTGTCAGAAATACTATATCCAACAATCTTTGAAGAAGTACGCCTAAATCAAAACTTGATCACATATTGGATGACTAAATCATTTGACTAGATAATCATATTTAAATAAACAGAAATAGAATGCCATACAATCTTTTAGGACGGAAGAAGTATGTACTTATTTGTGTAAAATAGTAAGATTTCTAAAATTCATATTTTGAAAATTATTGAAGAAAAGAGTAAGGGAAAGAGAGAACATAAAAAAAAAAAGAATTGTTTATTTATTTTTATTATTGAACCTAGACGAACCTAAGACTTTCTGTAGAAAGGAAGACAAGGATATATGTTAGTTTAGCTGCAAATTCATTGGCAACTTGTTAGTTTTATTGACGTTGCAATTATGTGATATTGTTTGTCGTAGATTTATTAATGTTACAATTAATTAATGTTCTTTATTACATGAGATATTTGGGCGAATTTAAAAAAGTAAAAAGATATATATAAAAAATTATTTTCTAGTATTTAAAATAAGTAGGATATATAATACTAGCATATCTGAGAATTTATGATAAGAGGCTAACTGTTACAGTGTTAAATGTTCACGAGGTGCACACTTAGGCATGCTTTCCAAAACCAAACCTAAAGGTGCTGGTAGCCTTGCCAAAAATGGGATAAATGAGCAATGTAGATTTATGCAGCTGTAGGTTCGTCAAAAGGAAAATCAGTAGCGCAAAATGTTGGCAAACATGGGCTGGACGATGGAATGTCCAAGCCAGACAGGAGAACTTGTCAAGGGCATAGGCTGACGAGAACTGGAGCTGTCGAGAAATGCGGTAGTACAGATTGTTGACGGACATGGGCTTAATGATGGAATGTCCAAGCCAAATAGGAAAACTCATCAAGGGCTGACGAAAACTGGGGCAGTTAAGAAATGCGGTAGTGCAGATTATTGACAAACATGGGCTTGACAATCAGGGGCATAGGCTGACAAGAATTGGGGCTGTCAAGGAATTCAACAGTGCAGACAATGGGAGCCTACACACATATGTGAATTTGGCAGTGCAAGAATTGGTAGCCTGCACGCTGATGTGAATTTGGCAACGCAGACATTGGGGGCCTGCACATAAATACGAATTTGGCAGCGCAGGAATTGGCAGCCTGCACCCAGATGTGCATTCGGTAGCGCGCAACAGCTTGTGCAAGTCAGGGGCTCAACTTGGCAAGATCTAAAACTTGGATAAAGGACTATCCAAGGCATACGGGTGACTTAATAACTGATGAAGCAAGAGTTGGCAGATAAGGCTACCAGGCAAGCATGCAGAAAGTGGGAGCATAACTGGGGTGCTCTCCAAGTTGTTGAAATCATGAAGAACATGGAGGAGAAAGTTCTCCACTATATCCTGAAAATAGAGATATGGGTGAGGTACTAAAGATCATAAAGATCATGGGGTGAGAAAGTGCCCCAATATGCCCTAAAAAATAGGGATCATGAAGGTGCCCTGCAGCTCACATACTTGGCTATACATAGTCATTGTAGTTCTTACTTGTATAGAGAGAATACATAGAGGATAGAACGCATATAGAAGAAATAACGTATGTAAACTTGATGGTGTAGCATGCGAATTTTATGCATAGCACACATTGTGTAATCCTTTGTTGATGAGATAAATAAAGGTTAAGAGTTCTTCTTGTATTCTCGGTGTGCTTTGTGAAGAGCAATTCTACTTGTGTATTCCGCTTGTCTTTTAACATGGGAAAGTAGGGAAACCTCTCGGGTGAGGGAAACACTTAGTTAATAGGCAAACACGAGTGGATAGACGAGGAAAAGCTGAGTCTAGCGAGGGACTACACTGCCGCACGGGTTTATTCGCGTAGCGAAAAATTACCCTGTGACATTAACTATATCAAACATATGATAAAAATTACTCTAAGATATCCTACGTAATGTAAATTATTGTGTGCTTGTTAACTTAAAAACATCAAGTTAGCTTTCATATTAAGTTATCTAAATTTTTATATTTGATCAAAAACTTGTCAATCTTAAAAATAGTGATTTTTTTATTCAAACCTGATTCGAAGGTTGACTAGGTTAAAAGACCGGGGTCTCGGATTATATGGGTCAACCTAGAAATATTAAAAAAAAATTGAGATTTTAATATTATATAAAAAAATTAAGAAACAATTCATGTGAATATAAATTATACATGTTGTTAATAATAAAGTTTAAAAGATTATTTTAAAATATTTTTTATATCTCACACTGAAAAGATACCATCTTATTCTTTTAAGTTGAAGTATTTAAACCAAAAAGATTTTTTATCCCACATTAAAAAAATATAACTTTTTTCTTGTAGAGTATATATACTAAAGAGTTTCAAATCCTACATTAAAAAAAAATATTTTTCTAGTAGTTATATAGTAAACTTTAAAATATGTAAAATTGAAAAATATTAAAAAAGAGGGGTCTTTGAAAAAAATACATATTTGAGAGAAAAAAACGGGTTTCAACAACATTTTGTTGTAATTTCTCAACCATTGGGAGCTCCCAATCAGTATCAAGCATCTAATCTAAGGAGTTTGTCGTCTTGCAATAACACACAACTCATCTCACCAAAAAATACAAGCAACTAACAATGAATTATGAACAACTTTCCTAAATGGTCTTGAATATATCATCACAAAGTGGTGATACATGTGCGCTTTCTTTTTTGTCGTATGGTTCCAGGAACAACCCGCCTTTTTTTCCTTCTCCCGCTCCTTCATTGTTCTAATTTAATATTTTTTTGGAAATACATTCAATCTGTAATGAATATTATTTAAATTTTTTTATTTTTTATGTTTAATAAAATTTTAACTGTATAATTGGTTTTTTTTACTTTTAATATATATAATTTTATATTATTTATTCTAAATAATTTTTAAAAAAAGAATTTAAAAAAACCTCATCGACAAATTTACAAATAGAATGAATCCATCGGCATCTTATAGAGAATTAAAAAATATTTACTAAAAATACCATAATCATTAACACTTCCATAGATGGATAAGATTTGTTAGCATTTTAACGAGGGTTCAAAAATATTTACTGGAAATGCCACAATCACCAATGTCTTCATAGATAGATATAGTTTGTTGATATTTTATTGAAAGTTGAAAAATATTTACTAGGAAATGCCTCTATCACCAACAGACTATATTCATCGATATATTTCTTGTGAAATTTTTTTTGGCGTATATTTTTCTTCTATAAAACCATCAGTAATATTTTTTTATTTAGATTTAGCAAAGGAATGTGGGATTATTGATGAAAGAGATGCTGACAGACACTTTTCGTCGGTAATTTAGTCGATAAAAAATTTACCAATGAAGTCTAAATCTTATACCAATAGATTGTGTCCGTTGGTAAAACTATTAAATCTAGTAGTGATATAAAATATATATACTAAAGAGTTTCAAATCCCAGATTGAAAAAATAACATATTCTTCTAGTATTTATATAGCAAATTTTGAAATGTGATGGTAACCAATTGAAAAATATGAAATAAGTGGGGTCTCTAGCAAAAAAAAAAAACATATTTAAGATAGAGAAAAAAAAAGGTCTCTACTAGGTTTTGCCAGGTTACCAAGGTTTCGAGGTAACCTGGCAGGTCGATTGGTTTTCTCCACACCAATTATAGTTTCTGATTTTTAATAAAATAGACGAGTTAATTTACTTAGGTAGTTTCTATTTTTATATTCCAAAACATCAAAATTAATGCATATATCATGTATTGTTATATATGAACACTATCTAATTTTGAAATTAAAAACCAAAGGCAAATAATTAGTCCCCATCTATATCAATATTGTGTCACATCAATACTCCAAGCATGGAAAGCTTGTAAATTAAAGTTAGTGACTTGTTTGTGTATATAGTCTTGCATATTTCGATTTCTTGTAATATGTGAAGCAAATAACATATTCTCTACTTGCTATGTAAATGTTAGTATATGCGACTTGAAAGCTACTTCAAGAATTTTAGGTTAAAAATATTCCAAAACAAGTCTTGAAAGCTACTTCAAGAATTTTAGGTCTTTTTTCAATGTCATAATTTTTTTAAAGCACAAATCACACCTTATAAAAATAAAAAAATATATGCTTTTTATATGGTTCTCACAAAAAAAAATTCAACAACACCTTTAAATCAAACACCCAAATAGTATTGTTGGAATCTTAAAAAGTATATTACAAATATCCTAATTATATAACAACAAGCAATATAGTTTTAAAAACAATGAATTTATCCTTAATAACAACAAAAATTTTAATCATTTAAAATACTTTAACAAATAAATATCTTTCTTTAAATATTTTAATTTAAGTATTGTTATTTTTATTTATTAGTATGCATGTTGGGATTTTGATCTTATATATATTGCAAATTTGAATATATGTTTATTATGCATGTTTGTATTTGTTTTTATTTATATGAAAATCATGTTTACCATGACTTATTATTTTATATATTTATAGATCTACACTTATATAAATTCTAATTTTTTTTAAATATATTTTTATATTTAATTATAATAAATTAAAAATATTTACTCGGCGTAAAAATTGAAGAAACAGCTTGAGAGCCTTATTGAAACACCTTTGAACACTTTGATCTAGATAATCGAATCAAAACAAACCACGTGTTTGAAGATAACAAGGAGCTAGCAGCGGCCTTATATATATGTGGAAGCAACGCATGTTATGGAAAAGGCATTATAGAAAGACCTCCAATGTTATTTCTCCTCTCTGTCTTCTTTCACCCTAAGACCTCCAAGGTTTATTCTCCTCTCTATCTTCTTCACCTTCTAAAATGTCTTCATTCAATATGTTGCAATCTATTTGATGTCAGTTCAACTTTTAATTCTTTTAACTGAATCACCCATTTGTGGCCCAATATCCCTTTTCTTCCTTTGTTTATATACCGTATGCATAAGCTCATACCTATGCTGAGAAAAAACAAGAACAATTTTCGAGTTGCAGCATGGTTAATATTAAACTCCAAATGACTTGGCCGGTTCGGAATTAAGTTTCATGACCTCATTACCATACAGATAAAATTCAAATCACTGCGTTTGATTGGAAAACCATGGATTATTCATACAATAATGAATTTTTAGCTCCATTTTCTGCTCGGTATTTCCTTTTGTTTTCTACATGCATGGATATTCCTTGATTGAGCCATATATGCACAGGTTCCAGTTGAGAGCTCTTAATTCTGGACAAACAGCTTGCTCTTGTGCTATTCGCCTGGGACAGTAACGACCTTACTCTCTGCAGCTGGGGATTTGAAGAGTCCGGATAGCTCTACCTCTACTTTAAAGGTTTGGGTCCAGTCACTAAAATCATTCAATATGTGAATCTTCCTAATTTGTGTGATATCAACCTCTCAAATCTTTTTTGTCTTACTAACATTATTTTTACCCTGGAGTCCAGCCGGCAATGAAATGGTCTAATTTATTTTTTCTTTAATGATGCTAGCTAGCTATTCAAAAAAGAAAAAAAATATGACTCGAAGCTAGCAGATGCTCTAGAAAAAACAAACCAGCTTAGAAAACCAAATAAGAGACAAAGTTAATGGGTCCCAAATAACAAAGGCATCCGGGAAAATGAACATCAAACAATTAGGAGTAATTCCTAGCAATAATTGGGATGGGTCAGGTTGGGGCAAGTTTTCAACCCGAAAGATTCTATTGTGGAGTTCAAATACTTAAAAATAGGGAGTAGGGTTTTTTTTTATATATAAAAAAATTGATTCCCTGGGGTAATGACAGACATTTATTGTCATTTGAGCAGTGAAATTAGACAGATGGGTGGCAGTGGTTCAGCGAGCACTTCAATTGATATTGAAGGGCTTTTGAAGGAAGTTCCAGATAGCATGCAAACAACCTTGCCGGAAGAGATGTGTATCTACCATGTCCCGGTAGACATTCGTCAAGTAAACAAAGATGCCTATACCCCTCAGGTGATTTGTATAGGCCCAATTCACCAAAAGAATGAAAACCAAGTTATAAAAGAACTGAAGCGAAGATATTTCAAACAGTTCTTTAACAGACTGCCGGCGGAAAAACAGAAACCGGTTCTGGAGGAACTTGTGAAGACCATTACAGGTTGTGTAGATAAAATCCACAATTGTTATGAAGATGCTGCTTTTGAACTTTGCAAGGATCCAAAAGATTGTGAAGTTAAAATCCGCAATTGTAATGAAGATGCTGCATTTGAACCTCGCAAGGATCCGAAGGGTTGTGAAGTTGAAATCCTCGATTGTTCTGAAGATGATTCTTCTAAACGTTGCGAGGATCAAAAGGTGTTCTTGAAGATGATTCTATGGGATGCTGTATTCATCTTTGAGCTCTTCTTGAAGAACAGAGAATTTATGGAAGATACAGAGAAATACAAGTACGATTATATAATAGGTAAACCCTGGCTGATAATTGCTGTGCAACGGGACCTGATATTACTCGAAAATCAGCTGCCGTTCTGGATTCTTGATGATTTGTATGGTATTGTCTCCAAATACATTATAACCGTTTGCTCTTGTTCACCTAAAACCGATTGCGGTTGTCCACCTGAAACCGATGAAACCTGTTGCTCTTGTGTACCTAAAACCGATTGCTGTTGTCCATGTATAAATTTTCTGGTTCTTACTCGCAAGTTCTTTGAGATGTACAACAAGAGACAAACCAGTCCTCAGAAACCATTACATTTCACTGATCTGGTAAGATCTTTTTACCTTCCCGTCGACCCAAGTCCACCTGAAACTGATAAAACCTGTTGCTCTTGTGTACCTAAAACCGATTGCTGTTGTCCATGTATAAATTTTCTGGTTCTTACTCGCAAGTTCTTTGAGATGTACAACAAGAAACAAACCAGTCCTCAGAAACCACATGACTCGCCAAATAGATTACTTCATAGTGCAACTAGGCTGCACCAAGCAGGAATAAAGTTCAAGCCAAAGCCAAAAGAATACTTAATTATCATAAGATCATGGACGGAAGATAAATCTATCAAGAAAGGTGAGTTACATGTTCCAGTCCTTGAGATTGACGATCATACTGATTGTATCTTTCGAAACCTGATGGCGCTGGAGCAGTGTCATTATCCTTATAAAGCCTTCATCTGCGAGTATGTCATATTCTTGGATCGTCTTGTGGATACCAAAGAAGATGCAGATTTGCTCATTAAAAGTAAAGTTATTGTTAATATGCTTGGAGAAAGTAATGATGTGGCTAAGCTGATTAACAAACTTTGCCAAGGAATCGTAGAAGTCTCTTCGCGCTATAACAGGCTCGCCGAAGATTTAAATAAATACTATGACAACCCGTACAACAATAGTAAGGCCTTCCTCAGAAGACAGTATTTCAGTAATGTTTGGAAAGGCACCGGAACTATTGTTGGATTGATCGTCCTGTTCATCACTTTGGGAAACTTTGTTCGATCTTTTTTTTAGTACTCAAAGGTTCGATTGCTTCAGTGTCTGTACAATTCCTCCTTTCCTTTTCTGTAGCTAATAATTTTTACTTCACTTGTTTGATTGTAAGAATAATCATCAGTATTGTACTTTGTTGTAATCAACTTTAAGGAATATTATCTAGTGTGTCTATGTATTTTTGTGTCTATCTATCTACCTATCCATCCATCAACTACTGATTATGAGATATATACTGATGATGGATTCCTATGTGGCGTTTGAGATCCTCCTAGATGGACAGACAAGCAGGGACGATAAGCAGACGAGCACCAGACGAGCAGCTGATAACATTGCACAAAGCGTGTGAACCACCATCGGAATCTATGACGATCCTTGTCGGTGGATCTTCATCAAACAATATTTTTCGTTGCCGGACTAGAACATGCGAACTCCAAACAACCACGAAACAGATAATACAACCATTAAACGTTCATGCATGCCCAAGATTTGATATAAAGTCATCATATCACTATGGGTCCCACGGACCAGCTGGCGGCCAGAAACTTGAAGTTCAGTAAATTCTGATTTCACAATGGATAATTGGAAGCCTGGTTTTGTCCCAAAGATTAATGTTTTTTTTTTTTTTAATACTCGTGCTTTTGCCAGGATTATATATATTACGTCATATTTCGTGGCAAAACTGGAATTTTTTAAACGAGAAAAAAAATATTCTACTAAATATTTGATATTATATGCTATATAAACATATGTTATATAAAGAAATTAATTTGAAATATATGTACCAACTCAAGTCAAATAAAATTAATTTAAGAATATTTTTAAAATAAAATATTACATTATAGTTGTTTTCTTCAAGATTTTATATTTTAAAACTGTTTCATAATAATTTTATTTTTAATTTCATTAAAAATATCTTTCTCAATACATATAACAAACTTTTATTTATCTATTTCTAAATCTTTCAAAAACTAGAAAAGTTCTTGATAAGAATTCTATGATGATATATAATGTATAACATATAAAATTATAGCTTAAAAGGATTGTTATAAATTAATATTGTTCTTATTGACTTGTTGTTTTGTACAAGTGAATTAAATATAAATATTAAATATTTTTTTAATTTATTTATTATATCCCTTATTTTTTTAGTTGTCATATACTTCATTTTTAATCACTAGTAAATTCATACCATCATTTTTTATATAAAATTCATAACAAAATACTTATCAATTCATTAAAACTCATTTCAATTTATATCCATTAGTATATAATATTACCCATACACATATTAATTCAGTAAACCCATAAATTATTATAAATCCAAATATTTTTAATAACTAATTATAAAAAAAATAAAACTAAAATTAGATAATGAAATAAATAAAAAGATGAAGGAAACTTTCCTAAAACATGAAGTATAAGATGTCAACCAATTAATAGTTTAGGGTTTGAAAAGAAATTTTGTAGAAAAGAGAGAGACATGAACAATAGTTAAAAAAAAAAAAAGAGTTTAGATCAATTAATAACTAACAAAAAAAATTAACTCTGTAAAACTATAAAAAATACTGTGAAAAAAAATATATGGAGCAATTGCTCCCTTTTGCCCCATTTTAGCTCCTCCGGATGCCAAACCTTTTGATGGAGGAGCAAATAAAAGAATTCGAAGCAGTTAAAAATCAATATTGATTTCATAAAGGGAACCAAGATTATTTCATGTAAAAATAAACCATATCAATCTTAGGTCTTATCTAGAAAGGTGTTCTTTGTTTTAAGAAGAGAGATTTCCATGTTTAAAGATACTCGTGATCTTCAATTAAAGTTGATGCATGGATTGCAGTGAGCACAAAATACATGGATACCATTGAAAATACTGTTATCGCATGTTCAACTTTTGCAATGCACAATTTAAATTTTTAAAAATCCTTATTATATTAATATTTTAATATAAAAATACTTAAAAGAAAAAAGAAGATTAAGGCTGTTTGTCTGCGGAAAATTATTTTTTAAAAAAATTATTTTTTAATGGTGGATAGTATTATAGAAAATAAATTAAAAAATGCTAAAAAGTTATTTTTTTGAAAAATAAATTTCTAAAAAGTGAATTATAAAAAAATTAACTAATATATAAAAATATTAAATATAAATATTTAATCACTTACAATAAAAGAATAAAATCTAAAAAATATAATGATAAAAAAAATTAATATATCCTATATTTCTATATAACTTATTTTATAAAATATAACTATATATTATTTAAAAAAATTCTTATTTTTATTTTATATTTTATATTCTCGTCTCCCTTATATTCATTTTATCTTCTATGTGAATAAAATTTTTACTATTTTATTTGTTATTACCAAAGCACTAGGGAATAAAAATAATTAAAAAAACAAGGAAAATGAAAGTGAAGGAGACTGCACACGTTTTTTGCTTGTCATAATAGTTGGGCTTCTTGTGAGATCTTGATTGCTTGTGCCTACAAGGATTTATTCATCAATTCACAATTTTATGTTTTTTCATAATAGTTATACGGTCCAATGGACAATGGGGTATTTTGATTAAAAAAACAGAAAAAAAGCTACTCAAATTTGCGTTCCACACGTCAATTGCTTTACTTTTTTCTAGCGGCGCATGCAGCTGATTTTAATAGTCGAAACTATTATTCTGTCGTGTTATTCAATTTTTTTAATATTATCTTTCTCCTTAGATAATTTATGTGTCGATATCTATTTTTTTCTTTCTATTTTTTTTATCAAAATTCATATTCGTCCTTTTAGATTTTCATATCAGCCCTTTAATTTATTTATTTTTAGATTTGAATTCTTTTTTATTTTTTTATTTTAATTACCTTTAAAATTAGATTTTTTTCAATTTCATCTTCCTTCAATTTTTTAGTTTGTTAGATTTAGTTTTCGATCTTTTTATTATTTTTGAATTTGATTTTTTCTTAATTTCATCCTCCTTTATTTATTTTTATTTTTTTTAATTTGATATTTATTTTTTTTATTGCTATTTTTTTCTTAGTAAACTTTTCAGATGAAGAATTTTTTTATTTTATTTTTTAATATTAAAACAGTTGAAAATTTATTTTTTTTAATTGAACCCAAATCTGAATTAACTCAGAATAATTGAAACATGTTAAGTAAAAAAAATCTCCTTTAATGGACTTTGTATTATATTTTGTGATAGTCTATCTTAAATAATTAAATTTTTAACTTCCAAGGTAAGTATATTCCACTTTTAATTTGACTTTAAATGCTAGTAACCATGTTTTTCATTAAATTTTCAACAGTTAAAACATGTCATATCATTAAATCATTAAAAACAATGTCCCCTTCTTAATAAAACCAGCTAGGTTCCTTCCTCTTCACCTTTCTTGTTTCAGCGAGCTCTTTCTATTTATGTAAAAATGGTATAGGTGTTTTTATTTTACAAACTATAGAAAGAAGAAATAGTTATCAATGAATTAGAGTTAGGTACAATACTTTGACCAAGAAAAATGAGTTTTTATTAGAGTTTTTATTAGTTTATAATTTTTTTTTGGTATAAAGAATGAAAAACCAATATTTGAAATTAAAGTTGTAAACTTTTGATGGATTTTCTTGTTGATTAATAAAAGGAGTAAATTAGGAATTACATCTGCACGGGTACGAAGAGAGTTACAATTGACACTTTTTTTCTACTTTGATTTTTTTGTGAAGTTTTTAAATATTTTAATTAAACACAATTAAATAGCATCATAATTTGTTTTGGTGAGACTCAAAGTCGACATAAAGGAAATTTGTGTTGTTTTTCCTCTTTTTTTTTTAAATCTTGTTTCTTTTTTGAAAGAGATGGAGAAAAAGAGTCAGTTGAAAAAGATCAGTATGAATTTTTTTTTAAACAACATGACATTTCTTTTAATTATTTAACAATACTATACCTTTTTTATTAACACGAAACTGTAATTTTAAAATTTGACTAGTTAAAACATAAATATCATAAAATGTCTTGATTTCGTAAACCCTAATCTTAAAGATATTATAATTTGAATGAGATATGGTGCTTTCAAACTTAAATCTAAAAGAATTATGAAACATTTTTCAGATAGGTAAAAAGTCAATTCTCGTTACACCCTTTTTTTTTTATTAATCATAAATATTCAGGTCAGTTTATGTGCAACTCGACTAATTTCTCGAGTTCTTGAAGTTAACGATTATATAATCATTTAATAATCTTAAAATTTATAACATTCAAACTGGTAATTTTTAAAGAGTAAATTTAAAGTTTAAAAGCTACAGCCGAGTTATTACATATTTACACTCATTTTCTTAATTAATAAATAAAGAGTGAAGCCTGTAAATAAAAGGGATATAACAAAAGTGAAGAGACAGGAGAACTCATACTTATTTGAACCGAGGACTACAAGAGAGACAAAGGTCGAGGGTGAACTAGTATACCATCCAGGAAATCAGGTGCCTCCGCTTTTCAGACCAAGGTACTAGTTCTTTGCGTACTAGCTACCTTTGTCTCGTTACTGTTCATGTTCCTTAATTTGTTCCCTTAATTTTGCTTCCAAAGACAAAGAATAATTTCATGTATGATTAAATAAGTTGCCATGAGATTTTTTTAAATCGAGCCCAAGTACTACAATACTGATTATTAACTTGCTTGTTTATTTTAGTACCTTTTCCTTATGCTGCTTAATTTGAAGTTAATTTCATTACTAGTTAATTACAGTTATTTATTTGTCAAATGATCAGAAAACTTCAACAAATGGGAGAAAACGATCGATTAAAAAGCCCTTCAATTCCAATTGAAAAGCTGCGCCAAGATATTTTAATTATTATTCGAGATGACTTGGAGACTAGCTTTCGGTCTGAGCAGTGTATCTATGAAGTTCCTTTAGCATTTCGCGATCGAAAGGTAAATGCCTACACTCCTCGAGTAATCTCTATAGGTTCTATGTTGGTGGGAGAAACCACTTGTGATGGCTTTGAAACACTCAGAGGGGATAAAACACACTTTTTTATTTCAAGAACAAAGCTTACAATAACATAAACAAAAGCTTACAACAACCCCTCTCTCTTTCTCTCTTTCTCTATAGTGTTTCTCTCAATCTCTCCACACATAATTGCATAAGCTTAGCTATCTATTTATACACGAAATCAAAACAAGAAAATTCAACCTTCA